CTGGTTCCAATGGGCAACACGTAACAAATTGTTATCATCGTGGCCAATTTTTCTCACCGTTGTTCGCCACCGCTTCGGTCCAACTCAGTACGAAGACATTGAAGGTGAACTCTCCAAATTAACTCAAACCGGCTCTGTAGCTGATTTTCAAGCCCAGTTTGAAGAATTGATGAACAAGGTCAACGGTATCTCCGAATCACTACTGATCAGTTTTTTCATTATGAGACTGAAAAAGCATTTGAGACGGGAATTGCAATTTCACCGACCTGCTACGTTAATGGAAACCTTCGTCATGGCCAGAACATATGAGGCCCGTTTTGATGACACACCAACCATAGGCAAATTGTAGTCTCGCGGCACACAACACTCCACAGGCTCACATACCCAACCTAACCACAATCAAACAAACCGATCCAATTCAAATCCAAATAACCCATCAAACAATACTGCAACATCGTTACCACCACTCTTACCCACACCACACTCAAACCCTGCCGTGCGGAACATGCCCTCTGCCGAACTCCGAGACTGCCGTTCAAAAGGTCTCTGTTTTAAATGTGAGGAGAAATGGAACCCATCTCACCGATGCCAAAACCGCGTGCTTATCCTCATGGGAGCAGATGAAGAGGAACCCCCACCGGAATCCGAGGATAACTCAATAGATGATGTCTCGGGTGACATATCCAACCTTCACTCCTTGTCCAGCCAGCTCCAAAGTCGATCCTTGCGTGTTTCCGGCCTTTATAACCAAACAAAATTCACCATCCTCATTGACAGCGGGAACACTCACAACTTTATCAAGCCTGCGTTAGTGGAACGATTGGGGTTACCTATCAAACCATGCCCTCATTTCAAGGTCGCAACTGGTTGTGGAACCTTCTTGGTTTGTCAATTTTGCTGCCATAATGTCCCTCTTATCTTACAGGACATTAAATTTGAGGTGGATTTGTTTATCCTGAACATTGAAGGTCCCGATGTTGTGTTGGGCTTTCCTTGGTTGCAATCTTTGGGCAAAGTTGCTCATGATTATTCGGCTCTCACTATGGAGTTCATGTGGCAAGGGACCCAAATTACTTTAGTAGGTGATGCCTTTCTAGCCTCACAATCAGTGTCACTGCATCAGCTTCAAGCATTGGTTCACACCAATAATGTGGCCAGTGTTTTTACCATCACGACGTCCCTTCAAGACGTTGATTCTCTCCCAGAACCATCCAGCAATTTTCCATCCAACCTACCCAGCCCAGTTACTGATCTATTACAACGTTTTAAGTCCATTTTTTCTACACCCACAGAATTGCCTCCTCACAGAACGGTTGACCATCACATCCATCTTGTTGAAGGATCCAAGCCAGTCAATGTGAGGCCCTATCGATATCCTCAATTTCAAAAATCTGAAATGGAGAAGTTGATCCGAGAAATGCTTGATCAAGGCATCATCGTCCCTAGCCACAGTCCATTTTCTTCACCTGTCTTATTGGTAAAGAAGAAAGATGGTACATGGCGATTTTGTGTGGGTTATAGATCGTTAAATTCTGTTACAGTTAAGGATAAATTTCCAATTCCAACCATTGATGAACTTTTGGATGAGTTGGGTGGCGCAAGAATATTTACAAAACTGGACTTGCGTGTAGGGTACCATCAAATTCGGGTTCATCCGAGTGACACTTATAAAACGGCGTTCCGCACACATGAGGGCCATTTTGAATTTCTTGTAATGTCGTTTGGACTTACTAATGCACCGTCAACATTCCAAGTCGCAATGAACCAATTGTTTTCTCAATACTTACGAAGGTTTGTGATTGTTTTTTTTTTATGGCATACTGATATATAGTGCCTCTATTGAAGATCACTTGCAACATTTAGCATTGGTTTTCACTTCCTTAAAAACTCATTGTTTTTTTGTGAAACTGTCCAAATGTCTATTCTGTCAAGAGTCCATTGACTACTTAGGCCATATAGTTTCTTCTCAGGGTGTACAGGCGGATCCGGCCAAGCTTGAAGCCATGGAAAAATGGCCCATACCAGTAACGGTCAAACAACTTAGGGGGTTCTTAGGCCTTACCGGATACTATAGAAAATTCATTGCCCATTATGCATGTATAGCTTCTCCTTTAACTGATCTCCTGAAGCATGATGCATTCTCTTGGAATGAAAATGCTCAACGGGCCTTCCTTGCCCTCAAGCAAGCTATGCTTTCTGCGCCGGTCCTTAGTTTACCTGACTTTTCTAAAGAATTTGTAATAGAGACTGACGCATCCAACGTCGGTATTGGAGCTGTTTTAATGCAAGAGGGCCACCCCCTTGCCTTCTTTAGTAAGAAATTGGGCCCGAAGTTACAAGCTGCATCTGTATACATCAAGGAACTACATGCCATTACAGAATCTGTTCTTAAATGGAGACAATACTTGTTAGGTCATTTTTTTGTCATCCGAACTGATCATAAGAGCATCAAGGAATTACTTCGACAAGTAATACAAACTCCGAACAGCGAGTCGTATGTACGCAAACTCTTGGGGTTCCAATTTCGCATCGAGTACAAACCTGGGGCTTCCAATAAAGTGGCTGACGCACTTTCACGTGTGCCGGCTGACTGGCCAGACAGTGACCACACACCCGCACTCAGAGCATTAGTGTCATCACCTACATATGGTATTATTACTCAGCTCCAAAAAGATAATGCTTCAGATTTTTTCTATCAGACTTTTCGTGAACAACACATGCAGGGATTGCTCCGGTACCCTTATACTATCGTGAATGGGGTCCTCTTCCATACCGGTCGTTATGTGATCAACCCAACATCTCCTCTATGTCATACAATCATTAGCGAATTTCACGATACACCAAGTGGTGGCCATGCTGGTGTGAAACGTACCCTAGTTCGTGTTGCTGCCAATTTTTATTGGTCCGGTATGCGTAAAGCAGTGGAAGAGTATGTCGGCTCATGTCTTACTTGCCAACAAATTAAATACTCAACGCAGGTTCCAGCGGGACTCCTTCAACCTCTCCCGATTCCAGAGACGGTTTGGGAAGATGTGACAATGGATTTTATTACGGGTCTCCCTCCCTCTCAAGGATCCACGGTTATCCTTGTTGTTGTGGATCGATTATCGAAAATAGCTCACTTTGGTGCTCTTCCCACGTCATTTACCGCTTCCAAAGTAGCAGAGTTGTTTGTGTCTTTGGTTGTGCGTCACCATGGGTACCCTCGTTCCATTGTGTCTGATCGTGATCCAGTCTTCATTAGCGCTTTTTGGCGCAAGCTGTTTGAACTTAGTGGCACCAAGCTTGCTATGAGCAGTGCCTATCACCCTCAAACTGACGGTCAAACTGAGGTAGTTAACCATGGGTTGGAACAATATCTTCGTGCCTTCACTCAACATAAACCGTCTTCATGGGTTGCATTCCTCCCGTGGGCCGAATTTCATTATAACACCAGCTACCATAGTGCCTTGCAAATGTCCCCTTTCGAGGCTCTTTATGGTCGAAGATCACCCACCATTCCGGCATATACTAGGGGATCCACTTCTATACAAGTATTGGATGAGGCCCTAACTTCTCGTGACGAATTACTCCGCACTTTGAAGACAAATTTAACTGTTGCTCAACATAGAATGCGTTAGAAGGCCAATGCACATCGTCGAGACATTACTCTCGCTGTTGGTGATTTGGTTCTCGTACGCCTCAGATCGTATCGCCAAACATCAGTCCGTCAATTGAAACACCACAAGCTCTCGAAGAGGTTCTATGGTCCTTATAACATCATCGAGCGCATTGGGACAGTGGCATACAAACTCCAACTTCCTCCTGGTAGTCGCATTCACCCGGTTTTTCATGTGTTGGCTCTTAAACCTTTTCGTGGTACTGATAAGATGTCTGCATGTGACTTACCCTTGGAAAGCTTTGATAACCAACCTATTGATCAACCAAGGGCAATTTTAGATTGGCGAACTCAGTTAGTTCACGAGCAACCACAGGAACAACTCTTGGTGCATTGGGAGGGTTGTCCAGTTGATGAAGCTTCCTGGGAAGACTTGGAAAATTTCCGCACTTGTTATCTCGATTTTCACCTTGAGGACAAGGTGAGTTACTGCAGAAGGGAAAATGATACAAACTAACTAGTGGACCCGGACCCAATAAGGAAGGATGACCCAATAGTAAGGAAACGAGCAAGAAAGAAGCCGGCGTGGATGACTCGATTATGTCTCGGACAAAATTAGAAGATCCTGATATGCTCAAATTATGTCTGCGGACAAAATTAGAAGATCCTGATATGCTCAAATTAATTCCTGAAATTTCTGCTGCAAATTATTAGTTTAATTCCTGTTTTATTTCCCTAATTTTTGCTTGATTGTTAGCACCCAATTCCTTTTAATAGCTATGATGTAATCAAAACATAATAGAATAAAAGTTTCCAAGATCCTTTTTCCCCCAAATTCTATTATTCTCTTTCCCTTAATTTTCTGAGGAGTGGACATTCACTCGAAGAGTGTTAAAACCTTTGAGCATTCTGCAGCAGAGTGTATCAGGTTATTTTAGACAATTTAATCCACTTTTTTTTATAAATAAAGACATTTCTTCTCTCAAATGTGAGGGTTTCGTACTACATCGAACCCACACATAAATCTTACAAATCTATGCAAATTCACAAATAAAAACAAGGTGCATCCACCCAATTCTCTCCTTACAAATCATCTTGAACAAGTAAATTGATAGAAACGAATAAGGACTTGAGGATGTCTAATAAAGACCGAAAAGGGTTGAAGGGACCACACAAAGGAAGCACAAATCACGAAAGATTTGTGAAGGTAGCAAACGGGGAAGGATAAGCAACAATTTTGAGGTATTTTTTCTTTTTCTTTATCTAGTTCTTGGTCTTTTTATTTCTTCATGGTTTTGTTTGTGAACCACCTCTCATCCCCTCACCATCAATAGCCACTCACACCTCCCCTTTTTTCGCTCTCGTGAGTTCTCACTCTCCCTATCATCTTCATATTCCTTCTTCATTGTCCAGAACCTTCATTTTCTTTCCCACTCGTGCCTCCCTGCCCCATCCTCACACCTTCAATCTCACTTAATCTGTTCCATACCTAGCACACCACACTAAGCCCCAAATCATTGTGGCCACCATTGTGCCTTCAACCTCACCCCACATAACCACCTCTACTTCACCATTGTGCCACCCATCCTCAACTCTAGTCATGGTCACCCATAAGCCTTCCTCCACCCTCACCCTAACTGTAAGTAGAGGTGTCAATATGATTTGTAACTCGTGAGCCAACCTATCTTACCACGAGTTCAACCCAGATTGAGTTTGATTTTTTTTCATTTTTATCGATAATGGGTTAAAAATGAACCTAACTCACTTAACCCACAGGTTAAATGGGTTCAAACCGGGTTATGGTGGGTTGACTAACAACCCACCATTCATTTTAAAAATAATTATAATAATTTAGCAATCTTTATTGATGTTTTTTTTTCTCCACCTTTATTTCATGTTGCCATTACAAGTTAAACTTTCACTCAAACTTATCATCAATTATTCATTGCACCACTGTGTTCATTGCTGCACTTGGGTCACTTGTCATCCTTTTGTCGCACTACTATGTTATCGTCACGTGTTTGTTGCATTTGTCACATCAATGCATTTCAATTGTGTTATAGCGTGTGTCCCATTTTAGTCTTGTCATAACGTTTGTCATGTCAGCGCCACAATGTTTCAGTTTCACATTTCAATCATGCCACAACGTTTGTTACACCACTGCATTCGCCGTACCACTGCATTCATCACACAACCATGTCATCATGTTTCAGTTGTACCATAGCATTTGCTGCGTTTTAATTGCATTACAGCGTTTGCGGTGTCACCGCGTTATTGCGTTTCAGTCCTGCAATTTAGTCATGCTTATTAGAAAAAAAAAAAAAAACATGTGGGTTAGTGAGCCAACCCACCAACCCGTAGTGGGTCGAGGCAGGATGTGAAATTTTTGGCTCGCCATAAAGTGAGCCGGGTTGAGCTAGCCTTTTTTAAACTTAGCTCATGGTGAGTCAACCCGTGTGAGCCGGGTTAGCTCACTTTGACACCCTTAACTGCAAGCCACTCCTCGCACCATCTTCCAGCTTGACCTGTGGCTACCTTCAACCACCACCATCTTTGTTGCACACCACCATTGCCAACCACACCCAAACTACACACTCGAACCCTAGTCATTGCGCCTTCGCGCACCATCCAGTGGCTACTTCCTCCAACCACCCAAACCTGTCCTACGACCACTACACAACTTGTGTGTCCCATTTCATAACTTTGGCCACCATCGCACCTATCACACATCATTAGAGCCACCTTCTCCTCCATCAAGTTGCCCAGCCAAACCCCCAGGTCACCTTGACCCCTAACGTCATTGTGGCTTCACCCAGCGGCCACCGTGAATGATCTGCTAGCCACCCTCATAACCCCCGAAACCACCGCCATCTTGATTGACATCTCACTATCACCACCACGTGCTCAAACCTCAACCTCCAAGCCTTAGCCCTCACACTGTAGTGCTCCACGAACGAGCATGATTCAAAGCTGCGAATCCACCCAAGCTCAATATTTTCCTCGTTTTCTTTTTCTATTTTGATGTTTTTGTTTATTGATGTTCCATTCTTTGGTTACTTGTTTTGGATTCAATTTGTTCCCTCGTTTCCTGGTTTGGATTTAATTTTTTGTTGGACTTTTGATTTATATATGGGTTGTATGTTGATTGAGGAGGACCGTGGGTTCCTTTTGTTTTAGCTTTTTTTCTTTTTGTCTAGACTGATAAGGACCCTATTTGTTTAAAATTTGGTTTTTAATAAACTTTTACTTTTTAGTCTATTGTTAGTAGTGATTTGCATCTAGTTGTACTTGTTTGAATTTAATTATGTTAGTCGTCATTATGTCTCTATTTGTAAAAACTTGGATTTTTGTGTTTTATGATGGTATGGGTTTGCATCAGGATGCCTTCAGTTTAAAAGTAGGAAAATCATCGTTATCGACCTTTGTTTTAGTTATTATTCAATTTAAAAGCATTTTAATGAAGTTAATTTTGATGCCTAGATTTTATCAAACAATTTGCAATGAGAGTAATGCAGTTCTAGGATTGGCCTAGATCGTATCTTGAGGAGAATTATTTTGTTTTGTTTCGAACCTTGATTTTCTATATCAAAAGCTAGGAAATAGGGAGTTTTTATGATTTTAGAATGTAGAAAAGTAAATTGAAAACTATAAACTTAAACTAAGAAAACATTAAATGAAAGCTTTTAAATCTAATCTATTAAAGCTTTAAATGCAAGGAAACATTATAAATAAAGTTTAAAATGGAAAACATATAAAAATTAAACAATGAAGACTAGTGAAGGAATTATGTTGATTCTCCAATCATAAACTTGTTTTTATGATTATCATTAATTTCTATGAAAATGTCTTGCAATCATAATAACAAATTCACAACAGTTCCAATCAATTATAATTCAATTGAAATTCGTATTCACATCTCAATTCCTAAATCAAGCAATCACTTAAACCTAGAAGTTGAATTATGATGTAAAAGAGACATTCAATAAAATAACTTCAATTACATTGATTGTAATGGATTATAATCGGTTATAATCATCAAGAATCAAATCAACAACAAAAGCGAATTAGAATATGATTAAGAGATGAAAAACCAGAAATAGTAAAGAAATGGAATAGAGAAAGAAGAAAAGAAGAAGAGGATGAAATAGAAAGTAAAAAACAAAGAAGTTAAGAGAGAAAGAAACAAACATGATCAAGGAGAACTTCATAGCATTATTTGTACAAGAAACTCCATGAACAAACTTGAAAGCTAAACACCACTTAAGAAAAACTAGAGAATCTAAAAACTAAGCTTGGAAACTTTAGAACTAAGTTGTGACTCAAACTTAACTTATGTTTCTCAACCTTTGAAGGTTTGTTTATAAAACAACAAAGGCATATGATCAAGGTCCATTCGAGACCCATAATTACATAATAGAACTCAGAACAACATTGTGTAGAAATGAAATTTGACAAATCTGCTCAACGATTTACAAAATTCTTAGCGGATTAACAGTTAAATTAATTACATGAATTCTGACAAATTTCGCTCAGCAGATAAAAAAACGCTGAGCAGTTTACACAAGACTAATTTTGCGGAGCGGATTGGGAAGCGCTCAGCGAATTGCTTCTTTTTAAAAGAGGAGCTCTCTGGACTGATTCTGCTTAACGGATCAAAAAGCGTTGAGCAGTTGGCACAAGGTTGATTCCGCTGAGCGGATTCAGAAGTGCTCAACGATTTACTCTACTTTAAGCTTTTATATTTTCTTTAATTTATCATTCCTGCAAAAGAAAACAAATAATTAGTAAAAATGTAGAATTTAAGAAGTCTTACTCAACCAAATAAATTCAACAATTAAAATATGTAGTATTAGGAAGTGACTTCTAGGTCGTCTCCCAGTGAACTATAGATCAAGCCAATGTTCTTACACGAGTATGTAGATTAAACAGCAGAAAAATAAAAGAAAAAGGGTTTTGCGAAATAATAAATAGTAAATTAACGAAAATAGAATTTGAATAAAACAGTTAGAAAACAATTGATTTCCTTATTTGAATGCAATGTCACTTAACCCTTATTCCAACCCGAAATTAACCAACTAAGCGAAGATTAACCCAAATTATCCTTATACAATTAAACATTGCATACATCACATAATCTCATCTTCAACACAAGATTAAGCAAATTGTGATATTGGTTTCGGTTTATTAAGCATAAATAGATTATAATTCACATTGAGATTAGAAGTTGTAGAGTTAAGAGAATAAACGAAATAGAAAAACAAAACCTCAAAGATATCCTGCATTCTCCTCAGAAAATCAATACAAAGATTTAGCTATCCATGGAAAAATCGAAAATGCAGAAGAAGAGACATCATTAAAATTGAAACAAAAAATTGTGTTTTAAAAAAATGATAGAAGAGTAAACGAACGTGAATATAAAATGCAGAAGACGAAAATGACGTTCGGAGGATGCAAATCTGAATAGATTCAAACCTGAAAATAATAATGAGAAAAAATTAGATCAAATAGATTCAAATTAATTAAAATATGAATTACTGGGCCAATGAAACCCAATTAATAAAAATTCACTAATAGCATACAGTTAAGTCCAAAACACTAATTAAAATAAGTATAGAAAGGTAAGAAAATATGACAATATAATGACTCATCAGCCATCATGTGTCATGCTTTAATAAATATTTTTTTTACACAAGTATGGTCATGCACATCATGTGTCACATTTTAATAAAATAAAATTTGAAACGTAGGTGTGGTCACATGTGTCTTATCTTTTTGAAGCACAGGAATAGTCGCACACGTCATTATGTGTTTTACTTTTCAAAAAAAAAAATTTGACACATGTAACCATAAGCGTCATCATGTGTCTTATCCAAAAAAATTGTCCTAGGTGTAAGTATGATCGTCCATATCGTCTTACACTTTGTAACCCTTCTTTTAAAAAATACAAAAAAATACAAATCTCTTTCAAAAATACAACAAAAATTTCCAAAAACACACAAACTTTTTCTACAAAAAACTACGTAACCTTGATTTTTCATTCTCAATAAAAATACATAAGAGCAAGTTCAATCCTTGTCGGGCAAAAAAAACTAATTTTCAAAAATGTTTTCTTCTTTTATTTTCTCTTTTTCTCTTTCTTTCTTTGTCTGATATTTAAAGAGAAAATAAATATATTCAAAAATGACTTGGGTTTTGCACATTTAGCTAAAGGTAATCATCTTAGGACGGACGTTGTAGGGTGTTAATACCTTCCTTACGCGTAACCAACTCTTGAAATTGCATATGGTTTCAAAGGACATTTTTTAATGGTGTTGTGGGTAGTTTTCCTTAATAAACTATGGTAGTGATTCCATTATCAATTCTTTTTAAAATCTCATTATCATTTTTTCGTCGCCCCGTTGTGACTCTGGTTGCAATAGAGAGGAGGCAAATATGGAGAAGGCTGAATTGAAGGTAAAGTTGGCCAAGGCCAAAAAAGGCAGGGCAGAGGAGGTGGAGCATCAGGAACGGTTGGAGTTGGAATTTTGTGTGGTTGAGACACAATTATTAAACGTGTATAAAGAGGGGTTTCAAAAGCAATGGCGGATCTTGACTATTGATCTTGGAGGGGTCAAATAATATATTATTAATAAATAATAAATAAATATAAAAGGAAGTAAGATGATGAAAAGGTGAAAGGATAAAATTGTAAATATATACTTAAATATATTAAATGATCATTAAATTTGAGGGGGACAAAATCATAAATTATATGAGAGTTACAAAGCCGAGGAGGGACTGAGAGGATAAAATTGTAAATGTACAAGTAAATATATTAAATGTTTATTAAGTTTGGGGGAGGCCAAAATCATAAATTACATGGGAGTTACAAAACTTTGGGGGGCCGCGGCCCCCCTCAACTCCCAAGAAGATCCCTGTTCAAAAGATTTGGTCTTAGGCTGTTGTGTTGTGCCCGGGCATGGATGTCGCGTGTTTTGATATGGAGAAGGACATCAAGGATGGTGAACTAGTTGATGCACCTTAGTTTTATTTTTATTTACTAATGTGTTTTATAGATCATATATGGATGACTGTATATAACATCCATTTTCTAACATTTTGTCCGTGTTTGGATGATGACTCATATGCTTATAACACGTGCTTTGTGCATTCGATTGCATATATTATATAGTGTGTACCTTATAGCTCATATATATATGTATGAGTATGTATTATATCTCGAGTATGTGTACGAGACATCTTTGTGCTTTTAAGGCTAATGAGGTCATTACATGGTCGGTTAACCGTATAAAACATCATTAGTAAAAATAGCCAATCTAATGCAAATAATATAAATAATCAAGTATTCTTGAAATATTCATGAATGAGTATGACTTTATTTTTAAATAGTAATGCAAATGATAATTCGGCATTCTCGAAATATTCATGAATGAGTATGACTTTATTTTCCACTTTTAGCTCAAATGGCTTGCATATCTTTCACCTGACTCGGGCTTGGACAACATTATCATTGGTTTTTTTTCCTTGACTTTATTTATTTTCTGCCTAACATTCGAGTTTGGACAATAATTTCAATATTAGTAAATAAATCAATAATAATAGTAAATAGTGTGTATGCATCAATGAGGATAGTGTAAATCATTGACTATTATTGTTCTGTCGAATGACCTTATGATGTGGTGTTGTGTAGAGTAGCCTAAATAGGCTCTCACGTTGTGTCGTGCCGATTAGCAACAAATGTATTGGATGACCTT